GCATCTGCTGAGACATGTCCGTACATGATTAAAGGTGTTTGAAAGGAAGTAAGGTTTCTACTTGTTTTAAAACATGGCTTACTATCATTTGCTTTCGGTTTGATGTGCATTTCACCAGCGTATTGTAAGATGGTAATAGCCTAGTTGCTGCACAATTAACTGATCGTAGAACCGATATGGAGTTGAAAACGCATGCTTCCTTCGTTGACAACTACTTATCGAGGTCTATAAACACGTAAATTTATATTACGGGTTTGGACAACTGTATATTATAGGGTGTTCTGATCTACTTTGTTCCAGTTATGAGTGGATTTTGTTCTTTCGAGGTAAGAGACTCAGCAACGTTAACAGTGTTGGCATCACGAGTGTGATCCCCCCTGGCCAGTCTTCAAGTGATTTCACTTTCCAAATCGCTGTTGTCACGACCCCAGCGTCGCTTTGTATGTTTTAGCTTTATCCATCGAAAATGAAAATTTTGTATGGGTTAGGTGTGTTGTCACAGTTGAGGATTGCTCATCAGTGGGACTTTAGCAGAGCATTTCAGTTGGAATTCCACTTCAGACGATAGTAACATTAATTATAATGACAGTAGAATGCAATTCCCTATGAATGTTCGCAAAGAAGAAGATTTCGTTCACGGTTTGTTTACGCACGAAACTACTTGCCTTCACTATCATCTCAAATTCACGCTGGCATTGCTTCCTCTCAACCGTGTAAACTGATACCTCAACTCAGTCCACTCTCATGAGCGCATTTTCAGATTTGTTACAAAGGCTGTTCTCAAATGCGCGTTTCTGTTGTCAAAGGAAACCTTTCACTTTTTATTCACTATGTTCACTGAACAATTTAATACTTCCGCAAATGCACCGGTCTGCTGCAAAAATAAGCTCCACGATAACTTTTACATTACAATTGCAACCTTTTTGTGCAATCTTGCACAAACACGAGGACGATTCTCAGCACACTACACTACGCTACTACTACACACTACAGCACAAGCATGCATTTTCTCTTCTCTCCTCAAAGTAAAAATAATCCCTTTTGAGTAAACAAGCTGTTTGCAAGGCTTGAAAATGAGACAAAAAACCCTGCCGTACGCGACCGGGTTGATAGTGCATAAAATTACATGATCAACCGCTGTAGCGGCTGGTTTTATACAGCAGGAGGTGCGCTGTCAGGCACGTAATGCGGATTGAATAGTGCTAGCAAAGCATTTCTTGAAACAGAGGTTCTTAATGCGTCGTAGAGCCCTTTCAGCCACGGAGCCCCACGCTATAAGGTGCGTACCAAACAATGCTAAACAAACCCATTTACAATTTGCTCTAACCTACATACTGTTCTATTGAAGGCGACTTCGGTGTTCCAACTCTTATAGTTTGATTTCTGCATGGCCTTCATTACTTTTGTGCTGAGAAAAGGTCAATTCTTCCGTGGACAATCAAGACGTATCTCTTGAACAAGTGAAGGGAGGCAGTCTTTTTTGCATAGGATTTGGCAAAATTACCAAATGTTATAAGCTGACTAATACTGACACCTCGTTTTCCATGAATTTTAAAATTACAAATAATTTATGAATGATGAGTCTTGTCAACTAAGTAGTTGAGGATTCTAGAGAGGATGCACCTAAAGGCCTCTAATGTTCAATATTTTTTTCCCTTTGTTGTTTTCCACTAAGTTTTATCACTAACTTCCTTGTTTTCGCTCACATGCGATTTTAATAATAAGAGATGCATGGACTTTTCATAATCAAGGTATGATGAATGGGTGGGAAGAGTGGATATTGGTAACGTCAAGCCTGACAGGAAGCATAATTAATTGTCCACCAACTTGACGAGGATTCATCCCATCCACTCCTCCCGTGCAACTTGCTGCTCCAAATGGTCATTGCGGCACAGGAACACAACCTCCGCTGTACACTGAATGTATGAAAGCCTCCATGCATGCCATTTCAAAATACGGCATGTTTGGAGGTTGGTGCTGCCAGTAGGCTTCCACCTTGAAGGTTTCGATAGCAAATACGTATTTCTATGTGCTACGACAAATATCGCTTTACCATTTGATTGCATGCAGCTAAAGAGCAGTTGTGCATTAACAATACCTTCGACTTCTCCTTGAAAATAAAGTAATTTTTCTTTTCAGTAGAGTACATAGCTTATCACACTAAGCGAAAACCATTAGTGTACTCAACAACGGTTGTTTGGAATACTGTTTTTAGTGCCCATATTGTGCGTACTTTGTAACTCAAAACTGGCCATTTTGTGCTACTTCGCACCCTCGAAGATTAGTGGGCAGGAGGTTAAAACCTGTTGGCGCAGCGACAATTCCCACAAGGTGGTGAACAGAAGTGGGACACACCAGTCCACAATTCAGCGATCGTCCACTTTCTATAGCACTGGATGTCACTTTCAGCCTGTCTCAAGCATCCTTCATTAGCTAATTTCACCGAAATTCGCTGTTTATTAATTAAAAAATTACATAGACCAGCGTTTGTGTCAGGCATTTGTCATAAGTCTGGTGGACCTACACTAAGCAATCATTATCGGGATTCATTTTTTATTACATTTTGGTTTTACAGCACTTTGATGTGGAGAGACATTTTTCTTGTCATTTGGTTGGGTCAGGAGGTGATAAGAAGTATAATAAACCACAAATAACAAATAACTGAGCTATAAATAAAACTTGGCCATGCGTTAGCGGAAAGACAAGATTAATCACGACGTTGTTTGGATTATACAGCAATATGAGTTGAGGAAACTTTTGTAGACCGCTTACCTGATGTTCCGGGTAGTTGGGAGGAGAAGGAGTTATTGCGGGATCTGCTTCACGACTATGAGAAGAAGGCTCGCCCTGTGGTGGACGGAGTTTCACCAATTGCTCAGCTCTCAGAGACTCTCTCAGTGCAGCAGATTACAATCGAGTTTGGCCTTTCACTCATCCAAATCCTCGAATTGGATGAAAACGAACAAGTCCTCACGACGAGTATTCGGACACTCTATGTGAGCCCTCGTACCTCATTCAAAACTTCTAAAGTTAAGATTGAAAAACAAGTGTGTCAGTGGCATGATATATAATTCTATTTATAAAAATAAACGGGTGACCATAACCCTTCCCTTCAGTTTTAAGCGTCAGAGAATGTCCATATTTTGCGCAAAAGCTGTCGAAGGCGAAGCAAAGTAGGACAGATGCATAGGTTTCCCTTCATTCGCATAATTTATTTTTATTGCCATGGGCAGAATGCCGTTGGCAGATTTTTTTCTTAATAATCTTTTCCTCCACTACAGCCTCTCTTCCTCATTACTCATGTCCTGAAAGACCTTACTCCCATATCAGCTAATTATGTTCTTGCAAGTAATTGGGACAAAAAAGGGGATGAGTAGTGGCCTAGGACTCTCTTGTTTTTTTGACAAAAATAGCACAATACGATGCCATGTGTCCTCGAATACGCACAAATCACTTCTCCACTTCGTTCAGAGCTCATTGTATTGCGTGTTGATTAAAAGCAAGGTATGTTTTAAAATGAAGTCAAATGAACAAAAAAGTAGAACAGTTTATGTGGAATTAAACATTAAAGGAAATTTTACTGTTTCGTCTTAGTCGAAGGATAGTTGCTGAAATTTTATAAAGGGTGCAATTCCTTAGGCTTAAAAATTGTTTTAAGTTTTTCGGATATGGATCTGCAATTGTTTTAGAGATGGAAGGACTACCACATGGTCTGGGACCCTGCTGAGTACGGTAACATCACATCAGTTCAAATACCAACTTCAAAACTCTGGCTTCCGGATATAGCCTTGTATAATTAGTAAGCGATAGCAGTTTTTTTGCCTTTTGAAATACAGATTAATAATATCATTGCAGTAAGAGCATGTGGTGGCTACTTCGTTAGATGGTCGAACTTTTGCAAACTCCAAATAACGCAAACTGTCGGGAGTGGACAATTGCAGTCCCGCTAATTAAGCTCGCATGTTTTCACGTCGATCGTAAGCATAATGCCTTGACCTCAAACCCGTTGCTCATACTTCCATGTCAGCGCCATTGTTTAAAATGTACGCCTACATTCTAGTCGTGTAACTTGGGGGCAATAAAAAATAGACGGTCGTTATTTTCACCGTTTCCACCGTTTCAGTTTGGTGTTGGCTCACCGAATAAAGTCGTTTCCCGCCACTGTGAAACGCTATCGAACACACGTCCGTTTGAAACGAATGCGAAGCTTTTTATTCACAAAGCTGCGCTGATGCCTCCCCTACATAACTACGCGAAAGGTTTCTTTCATCATCGATGAGGGAACTTTTCCAAAAATTAATTGTTTCTATTCTTACCAGAAGGGATTACTTTTATCCCTTTTTATCTTGAACAAAGGATTACGACACAAATATGGTCCAGATGAACAACTCTCTGCTGCTCGTCTCAGAAATTCATTATGGTTGTCATTGATGGCGTTGATAATGGAAAAATTCTGTTGCTTCTAACTCAACCATATGATCCTTTTAAATTTGAAAGTGGACTTTTGCAGTGTCCATTTAAGAATGGGGAGTAAGAAAAGACAGCCTCTCTTCTTGTATCCTCCTCGCGTGATAACATTCATTAGATGGCTCACAACCGTTTGCACTCTCGTGTCAAGCGATCAATTCTCTGCTATAGTCAAACTTATTTCTGCCACAAAGGAAAATTGACGCCAGTACTGCTTGGAACAACTTCATGATTTGTGAAAAAGAAACTTGGACACGGCAACCGTCGATTATGAACATCGTAATACGCTACTCAAAGTTTGCAAATGGCATACTATGTGACCGCTTGCGTGGTGAGGAAATCCCACTCTAAACGTGGGTTTTGCTATAACTGGTTCGAATTTCATGCCTCCTAATTAATGAGCGAGCAGCAGAATTACATTGCGGCTAATTGTTTTAATATGGAAAATAAATGGAAACCAGGTTAAGCATGTACCTCCTAGAGCCTTTAGCAAAATAATCCATAACTGCACTGATGCGCACGCAAGCGAGGAATCAGTTTCTCATGCAGCACCGTTGGACGGTTGAACGTAAAGTAGGATTAAGTGGTCGCCCACAAACTGAACCTCAAAAGCGGAAAGCGCTTTGCACACTGGTGTTTAACACAAATACGATAGCGAATAAACAGTTTGACATCATTTTCGAATTTCTTTACCTTAATTTTTGTAGACTTCTCAAATTTACTTTGTCAACATCGTTCAAAGTCGAATAGTGAGTGAAACCATTTCAATATCTCAACATGGCAAGATGGCAAGCATATTGGTGCATAAATGTACCAAAACATGTCAAAGTTACCGCAGAGCAGCAAATAGTTAATCACACATCCCATTCGTTCTTAAGATTGGCAATTAATTTTAGTGCTGATGAAAGACTGGAAGAGAGAAGACGCTCCGACCTGTTGGTCTCTTACACAGGAACGGTGGAGTGGCAGCCACTGGCCATCTACAAGAGCGCCTGCTTTGTCCACATCAAGTACTTTCCTTTTGATCAGCAAAATTGTAGATTCAAGTTTGGGCCCTGGACCTATGATGCGTAAGTTTAAAACGCCTTGTCTGTGTCTTTTTCATTACGAGCACGCCTCTTAGAATTTATGCTCAATAATAGTTCTTCCCATTCGACTGGCCCGGGACCGCCGTGTTTAGGCTAACAGGTGCCTCGATAACCATGTCATTCCGCTCGTGTTCAGAGTGAAAACATTTAAACCGTCCAAAAGAGAGATGTCACTCTAGCCAATAGGCTTAGAATATTGTCTGGTAAAAATCTCTCCTATAATAGTCTCTTTAAGTTCAATGAGAAACTGCCAGCCCTCTTGCACTTAATATTTAGCCGAAACCAAAAGGTCTTGGTTTAAGAAGTGAAATGGATTTGCGCAATTTAAGCACCTGCCATATAAACTACCCTATTCCATTTACTGTTCCGTTGCCCTTTTTCGTACTTGGATGGAGGTGGTTTGTTTGATAGTCAAACCAAAAATCGCGAAAAAGCATTCACACAAATAAGCCCGTTTTTAGGTACAACTTTCACTGAGCTCGTCTGATAAAAGAGTGTTTCCCTTAACGTCAGTTAAGGGTGTTTCAATTTTTCCTCCTTTAAACCACTTTGTTTCGATGAGTGAAATTTTAGCATTTTAAATATGTGAAGGGATTCTGGCGAACTGGATTAATAGTTAAAAACAGCATCGATTGAGCTGCATATTTAATTTATAAATGCTTAAACTTCTTGTGACTTTTATTATTAAACATACGGCAACAGTACTAGAACCATTTGTTGGGTTGCTAAGCCCCACATCGTTGAAGTCGTTGTTAAAGCCAGTCTAATGTGGACGGGTTGGAGTTAACTCAATCCGCTGATAGCCACACGGTTATCCATGGTTTCGCACACATAACTTCTTTTAGGTTTACATTAATTTGCCTTGTTTGACAGAATAACTGCATGGACAATGGGAAATAGCTTCCTTGGTATACCACTACAAGCACAGTCCAGAAAATAAACGAGATTTCAGGAACACCCACACCAACACGGGTTTTGAGATCTTCCTGCTCAAACCACCCAGGTACTGCAAAGATTTTGCATAGCTGCCATCACCTTGGCCAAAGGCGTAGGGAGCATTTTGTGTTGAGATGATTCCAAAGGACTAATTGGAAAACCACGCGCAAATCGGTTTTACATGCTTTACTGTGCATACACTCTGTTTAAGGGTAGGACGAACTGCTGAAGTAAACGGCTTCACAAGTGCAAAAATCAACAGGAAGCAGTAAGTGCTCCATTATATACAATGCAGAAAATAGTAACAAACCTAATCCGTTTTCCGAATTTATTCAACTCACCTTTACAAGGGATTCGCTAATTTCGAGGAAATGAGAAAGTTTATGGGACTACGAAAAGCGCGCAAACAAGTTTATAAACGCAGTGGCGAGCATAAATTGGATTGGAGTCAAAATGAATAGACTGTCATTCACTGACAATTTGGGCCAGAAGTATGTCATTTATCAACAGAAGATAGCTATTATACGTCGGAAGTTGAGCCCATAAACAGTTAAAGCTGAAATTTTAAATATTCCACATAAGCTACTCTCATTTGTCAAACAACCTGAGTTGTGTCGCATTGTGGGGCCACCAACTTGACTTTTGACCTTTTGATGTGGCATAAGATTTGCGATTCGGTAACGGGTTACATCTGGTCTCAAAAGTGGGTAGCCGGGCTCACATCATTCACAGTCACTCCTGAAAGCAGTAATTTTGGATGCTTTAATTCTCATCTGCGTTAACTGCAGAATGCAAAATAGAGTAAATCGTTTTAGGCTCAGAAAAGTCGGAGTTCAAAGGATGAGTTGGGTTTCATTAAACCTCATTTGAAACAGGGTATCCTCTCAAGCAGTCTTATGAAGAACTGCGCTACGAAGAAGAACGTTTTCTTCCGTCAAAAATCTGGGAGTGAATTTCTGTACCCCTTACCTGCCTTAGAGCTGTGGCACTAGAAGATTTATTTTAAGAAAATTAGAGTAGTCGTGTCTCATTAGAGAAGAAAATTGAATTTGTGTGAATGCATAAAACAGTGACTGTCTCAGGCAGCAGCAACCTTAAGTATTTATTTGCATTAAGTTAATTTTGACATTGAATAATCTTGTAGAGTTTTGATCGTTAGATTATCACCGTATTCCATGTAATTTTGTCTATAAGTACGCACCAATAGCGGCCAAGGAGGCATTTTCGTCGAAACACTTCCGTTTTCAAAGCGAATTGTTGTTTATCAAAGCTTTGCCTTACTGTCTGCATTTTTCAGGTCGCACTGAACAACAGTCGAGGTGGTAACCTCTCTGATGAGATTGAAATTGACCGGCTTCCAACTAAGTGATAAGAAATAGGTGTGCAGAAGCCACGTTATCTAAATGGTGCCCGTGCATCAGCAGCCAATGCGTTCATTTTAGTCCTTATAAGGGAATATCGCCCTGGCGTGGGCAAAAGTTGGAAAGATGACTGTAAATTTTTGGTTTAAATCAGCCGAATTCGCATTGTAACTCTGCCACCCAGTTGTATAGGAATGCAATCTATTTTTATTTTTATTTATTTTATTTTTTGTGCTGTAAGACGTTCTCTTTTGAAAACAAAATCACTTGTTGGAATGCATGCCTAAAGGAGAGTTGTCCAATTTATGCCGTCGCTGCCATGAAAGCCCTGTGCCTCTTTCTGCCTATACAACCTCTTTAACAATATGCACATTCTATTGTTTCAATCTGAAATAAATGATTTAGCTGTTTCCGCTTTAGCAGACGCTTGGGCGTTTTTCAAGTACGAGTAGCTGTTGTTGATGGCAACACTCGTGCATGGGGGTGCATTATAAAATACTTAAGCATGGACGAAGCAGCATTTTGCCAACACTTCAAACTTGTTCTCTGTTGATGAAGACAACAAACTGTGTTTGGTTCGTCCTTTGCCCAGCTCACACTCATGACAAAACTACAATGTCACTCATATCTCATCTCGTAGGAGGCTTATTCTATACTTCTATCGTCTTTTATTCACTCCATTCATCTGGACCATGTAATGGTGAATGGAGTTGCTGGTGTTAATTCGGTTGAATGCACCGATTTGTTGCTTTTCGTCGTTGTCAGTTTCGTGCTGTCGGCATTTCCTTCCACCTTAAACAAAGCACCCTAACTTTTGGTTCCTTCATGAACTTGTGACAGCAGAGGCATGATGTCATCAGACACAACGCAGCTGCTGCTATGCAAATGTATCCACAAAACTCTTCTTCTAGATTCCTTATGACTTTACCAAGGAAGTAGTACTGATGCGTTATTCAAGGATATCAAAATCCTGAATTTTGCTCCAAGAATTACAGGATCATTATTTTTGGCTCCGAGCTTTTCCTAAAAACAAGTCAAAATTATTCTACGCCTTTTGAAGGTGGTAGCTGAAGATGCGGCAATGTTTGAAATTTACTCATATCAAGCAATTCTGCTTTGAGATTTTGGAGGAAAGCTTGCAGATTCCTAGGAATTGCACAGTTTTTCTTGCTGACATGCATCCAGAAGTGAAGCACATTTAAAGTCTGCAAAAAGACACCATCGGTTAATCCAAGTGCAAGATAAAATAACAAAAATGGCACATTAAATTTGTTTTCTTTCAACCAGATTTGTGTCTCCAGAATGCTTTCATGTTCCAGGTATTTTCAATAGGGCGGTGGAAAAGTCGGAGTAAACTTTAGCAATTAAATTCAAATGCAATGCTTGATAGGAACCGAGCAAACACTTCAACGATACATAATTTTGTTCGCCAAAGAGAAGGGTTTTTAAGTGGAGAAAATCTTTATAAAAATATGCATTTATTTTATGCGGACTTGCGTTTAGTGCACGAACGAACATAACTTTCTACAACAACTCGGACGGGTGGTTTTTGAATGATTACGAGGAGAGTCCGGAATGGGAGCTGCTGGCCACCAAGGCCGTCTTCACAGGCTTTAAGTACCAGTGCTGCGCCGAAATCTACCCCGACATTACATTTCAGCTGGTGATCAAGCGTCAGCCGGCCTTTTACAACTACGTCATCATTCTCCCCTGTTTCCTGCTTTCCTCGCTTACGCTCGTCCTCTTCTGTCTCCCTGCCGAAACACCTGCAAAGATGCAACTCGGTGTGTTGACAAGTCTGGGCCTCTCACCCATTTATTCCACTCTGCTTTACCGGCATCAGGCGATCCTAGTTTTCTCGACTTGCATACTTAGATTTCCTATGACTAGGTAATGAGAATATGTTAAAGAAAATGTTAGGCAATGTGTGCGTAAACATGCCCCAATTTCTGAAATAGTCAATAAGCCCACTAAAGCAGGCGTGTGTGAAGGGCAAAAGTGTGATTTGGGAAGTAACATTATGGAATCGTAAATAATAGTAACTGTTATTTCTGTGCGCCCATAACAAAAATGAAACCTTTTAATTATGCCTTTGTGCGTGTATGTGCGTGGGTTGAAATTCACGGCTGTACTGCAGTTCATATTATGCGCGAATGTGTGTTGATGTTTAGCAGATGAGTGAGTGTATGAATGAGGATATTAGACACCCACCAGTACACAAACCATAGTCAGTTTTATAGTCAATTAAAAGAGTTCGAGCAGACATAAAGCTGGCACACACACGCAGAGGATCGTTCACTTTAAAATTTGCAGACACAAGCCTTCTTGTATCGCCAACGCACTACCGCATCACACCAGCGTTTGAGTTTGCTTATGAACTGCATATCTTAAAAATAAGGATAAATTAAAACATGAGGTCCTTCTGCCCTACCATCTTGTGAGAAAATTTTGCTCCATGTTCCCAATGTGTCCAACCTCGAAGTTTAGCGGAGTGTTGATTTGGAGGATGACTTGCTCATTACAGAATCTTCACAATCGTATCCTCAGGGGACTTCTTTCCTTGCTTTTATTGGCTCTTACAAGTCCTTCATCGTCTATCAAATTTGCTGAATAATTTCTAAGTTAAAAATAAAATGTTATTAATATTCTATAAGATTTCCGAGAGTTTAGTATAAAGTCAACCTTTTTTCACTTCAACGTCAGCAAAGCAGCAGCGTTGCTTTGAATTATGGCTTCCCATTGAAGCATGTCCTCCATTAATTCTTAGCCTGGTGTAAGTGTAATCTTTGCGCCAGAGTGCGAAGTGGAGCACTGTCTGGACTGAGTGCTGACTGGGTTAGTGTAATTTTAGAGTAGGATGTCCAAAGTACTTTGGAATAAGAGAGGACAGGGTGGTGAATAAATCCTCAAATGTCTCCTATTGAGCAGTGCCATTCTGTTTGACACTACTTCAGAATGGGTTCTTTGGCTACTTGAATTTATTGGCCTGTCGAATTTCATTGCGTTTAATTTTACCTCAATTTTCCTATCCTAGGCGTGTTTCAATAAATGGCATTTTATTTCTGCCAATTGCCATTCGAAATTTCCATTTGACTGGCAGTCCAATTTGCATAATTTTACGCGCCTCCTGAAGCTTAGAACAACTAAAATAAACGGAAGATTTAGTCCCATGAGTACACAAAATAGCATCGAACAATTTCGCATTTCTCGATACAATAAAATCATGGTCAAAAGAAGGAAAGGCATTCTCTTTTGGAACATTTAAGGGTGGTTTTTTTGTTCTAGCAGTTGTCGACGCAATCATCTTGGCAGGATGTGTTATCTGTCGCGGAAAAGCACATTTTATCAAGTCAAAACCATTTTGGTAGCAGTAAACTAAATTTGAAGGAGAAACCACTGGACTTGAGTAGAAGCCAGTTGCCCGACGGGTCTACAATAAGGGGTTTCAACACAAGCACTGCGTAATCCAATGTCTTCACTCTGTCAGAGCACTTCACTTTCAATGCTCTCGAGATCATCCAGGTCTAGTTCATATGTTTAGTATTTCTGATAACAATAGGTTGAGGATTTATTTGTGCAATTCACGACTTCGTTTCCCATCCTTAATCATTGGCATACTGATTAGCCCTTCAAAGTCATTTGCAAGCTTCAAGTAAATTGGATGAACGCATTTTTTCACTCTGGGAGAAATTGATGTCAGTATTTAAGCATTTGAAGGGAGGAATTACACCAAATGAAGAAAGGCAAAAGGATTTTCCTGTGTACCGTTGAAAATCATTTTACACGTTGCGTGCTGTAAGCGCGAGACTGGATATTATCAAAATGACAATATTCAATCAAGAATTTCATGTAAAATCGAATACTCCCGGTGGAAATATCAATTATGAGGTGAAATAATGTTTGCTTGCTGCAATGAGCACGTTGTATCCCTTTTATTTCTTCAGATTTTTATTGCAATCTTATTTTATTGAATGAACAAATCGGACGTAGGGTTGACGTACTTGACCAACAATATTAAAAACAAGTCCTCCTAAGTTGACAGGCCTCCATCGAACACACACACGCATGAGTACACATTTGGATCCCTGAACATGATAGTACGAAAGAACTGTTTCAACGATGTAGTTATCACGCAACCAACATAAGGCTGCAATGGCAAGCAGCGAGATCTCAAAAACAGCTTGCCAGCTTCATCGTCTGCCCCTTCGTCACTCCGTGTCCGCCCGCTCACCTCACATTTCACGACCACCACTACCACCACCAGGCTTAACAGACCCGCCTGCTATGGACGCCTCCCGATATAGTGCAGTGTGTTGCCATTCGCAAACATTTTTCCAAAGCGATAGATAAACGCGTGCGTACGTGCCTGGGCGGGGGAAAGTGACTGCGGTTCATCGCAGTTGCTAGGGCGAGGGTGGGAGTTCTGGTGTGACATTGACTTGTGAAAGGGCTCACGTGCGTCCTTAACGCGCGCACCGCTCGAAATTTATGGGATTATAAATTACCGTCATCAGTATATTGTTTGCCTCAATAGGGACCGTCTCCCTTTAAAAGTAAGCGCACACCACGACGACTGCATGTCTTCCTTACAAACTAGAAGAATAAGCAGAAAAGAAATATCGGGACTTGAGAAACTTGCTACATTATTTGCACATAGAGAATGATAATTCGATGGTCGTTCCACCATGAGGTAACATACTTTGTAATGAAGGTCTGATGGTCTTTGTGGCCAACAGCAGCTGAATACAAAAGTTCACCAAGAATAAAAACATGCAATGGCCATCATTTTGTCTTGGAAATCGCAAATTCTTTAACTAAAATGATTTTGGCATTTGCACATATGCTAACCTCGGGCATTAATTGTCGACTTAATAAAATGAACTAATCAGAAGATACTTAAGGAGAATGCTGTTTGCTTCAGCCATTGGTATTCAAAACTTGTACAAAGTTACCGTTTAAAAGTAATGCGAAATTGGGGAAAAATAATTTAGAGGGCATGAAAAGCATAGTGCACATGCGCGTGGGAACGACTGATGGTCTCTTCATTATATCACTTTAAACCAGCCAAATCATTTGCCTTTATCGCCGAATCCTACGTACCTATGGAAACTTAGACAATCGAGCAAGAAGCAGCGTGTCAGGGTCACTACTTCAAGGTCGGTTTTCTAAGTGCATGCGTTTCGACAGCTCTGTTTGTTGACATAGACAAAGTTTTGGATCTTACGGCGTCCAAATAAACCAACTCACACTGGTTTGTCTTTTCTTACGCGTAAAAGTAACGAGTGGAATCCAAGGGCGAGTGAAGTAGACTGCTGGCTTGAATACTTTTGTTTGCTTGCCACACCTCGATTGATTTCCATGCGACATTTATAAGCTTCCACTATTGAAGAGGTGTTACAGGATTGCATGGTGTCTGTTTTCGTGACGCGTTGAAAAAAAGTAGCCAAAGGGCTAATGGTCTGCCATCATTCAAAGCAGTCTTGGAATGCCTGAAGTAGTTGATCTTCTCAGATAAGAATAGTCTCTCTATTAAAAAGGAAGTGACCTAATGTAACGCTTTTCGGGAACGGCGTCTATGGTAATCTTAAAGTTAAAGAAAATCAGAATAGTACCGTTATATGCTTTAACTGTTTGATGGGTTTTTAGAATGCCTATAAAGCACAAAAAACGCGTTCAGCTGGGTTCGTAACCCATCAAAGTAGCACAAACTAGGACCATTCCTGAACTGGCTTTTCTGTAAGCTCACGTGAACACTTGGAATCACTTTCACCAATGTGTATAGTGGCTTTAACAGGTTCCCTAAGTTAGTACACGGAACAACTCCTCTCCTACATACGACATCCTCAGCTCTTGACGGCTGGTAGCAAATAGCCTCAGCCTTAAAAACCATTGGAAGCATAAAACTCGACAGCTCTATCCGATTTGGCACTTTTGAAGGAAAAGTCAAAACATAATGCTAACCTAATTTTCTCCGACAAAACACCTCTACTTTTACCATCCCGCCAAGGGGTCGCTTTTATTACTTTTGAATGGAGAACAAAATATTTGTCTCGAGGTCGAACAGAGGAGCAACTTAGGTAATCGAGTTACCCTGACACGCAATTTTCACCACCTAGTTAAGTGTATGCCTTTACAAAGCGGAATGTTGGTAACTCAACGAAAATTTGTTCATTTAGGTCTTAATAAGTCACTTGATCTGCATTCAGTGCTTCGTTCGGAAGCAATCTCGTTATTTTGTTTACCATTTAAAACACCAAGTTATTTCATTGAAGATCATGCAAGAGAAAAATAGGTTGCTTTTTTGTCTTGTTAATTTTTATACTTACTTTTAAATGCAATCCGAACAACCCATACTATTAGGCGCACTTCTGCTGATAAGGCAACGGTGCCTTCAGTTTCGTATACAACTTTATACCTCAGCATTGAGGCATAATGCAGTTGGCTAAAGTCCGCAAAACCTTCCATTTTTCAGGTATGACGATGTTTCAAGCCTTCAATTTCCTACTGCTCATTTTGACTCAGTCAATTCCCTCTGGTGCCAGTTCTTTCCCTCTCATAGGTGAGATCACTTTATTAACCTCCAAATCTGCTCATTTGGCATGATTTATTGATAAAGCCATCGCCATTTTATCGGAGTTAATTGGTAGTTCTTATGACCTCCCCATTTTTCCCGGGACAGGACTGACCACTGTCTGCAAACACACAGCTACACCAAGGGTCAGGCATGGCGAATCATATTTTATCGCTGTTCTCGAGAGCTAATGTCATTGTGGTGCAAAAAGCGTGCCACTCTGTACCCTGACAGCACAGTGTGTGAGCCCCACCTACTTGTTTCCCACTGCACAGATGTGGGAAGGGAAATTCGCCTAAGAAATACTCAAAAGTGTTTCCGAA